GGTGGGCGGGATCAGCCAGTAGGGCGGAAAGTGTCAAAATTTCGAGTAACGTTCTCTTCGTTTCTTTCGCATATACAAATCCCAAGACTTTATGGTCCATTCTACCCTTATGGACAACCTCGCCCACTCAATAATGACCGAGAAAGTGCTAATAAGATGCGTGGAAGTTGTTACGTTATTATTTGTTAATTTCTTAGTTCATTATTAATTTAGAATTTCTTGTAGAATTTGTCTTCAAGCAAGCGGCTCATACGCATATCTCAAATCAGAAAAGATATTGCTACTTACTGAGCTGAAGGTCCTCCTTCGACTTGATACTATGGCCATGTGAACGAAGAAAGGACGCAGCCGTAGAGCGATCACCAAACAATGAGATATACAAAAACGCGACGAGGAATACGAGACCTGCTGCTAGGCCAGCGCCCTGACACGGACGAGTTGTCTCATAGATCAAGGAAAAAAAACAAACGGGTCTTACTTGCAACAGTAAGTATGGGATCAGAAGTGCAGCTCTTTCCGTAACCAGAGATACCAGTATACTTCCTGTGATACCAGCTCCAATAGCAAATCGAACTGCTACACTAATCATGTCATACTGTAAGGAATAGAAGATTACTGTAGCTAATGCTGCTTGTGTCTCTTAACCCTCGTCATATTGACAAAAACCAGCTATGCATTTATTTCGTACATTGATTACTGTTCTACAAAGCAAAGGAAGCCAGATGGCCTGAACATTCGCACTAAGTTTGATCCACAAAAGTCAGCTAAAACTAAAGATTTTCCATTTTCTTAAAATAGATCTCGTGTAGAATCCTATGCGGTTTGTTATTTGCTCACTCATACACTTCTCACACATTTATACATAAATTCATTCATACATTCGTGTATGGAAGGATTTGTAATTTAGTATGGCTTGATGGAAACAAAAGACCAAAAATGGAAATGTCCTTTGTAGGGCATTTATGCATCTAATATTCTTCAAGAATCAAAAGTTAGCTCCTGCAGAATGGAAGTATACTGATGTATTTTCACTGCCAGTATCAAAATATGCGAGTAACCAATCCCTGCTTTGGCAAGAGCATACTTTTCATTTTCTTCGTTTATGAGTAGCTATGGAAAAAGGTAATACAGCTTCTGTCTGTCGGCTTATTCAATTTTTAGATTTCAGCTCGGGATTTTATGTGGATCAAACTTTAGTGCTCATGTACGAACGCCATTCTGTGCAGCTTGCTTTATCGCTCAACTTGTCAAAAGAAACTATTAGGATTTTATCAGTATGAAGAAAGCATGAGACCGATGACTTATATCATTTCATTACCTTATCAAGCTTCGGTGAGGAGGCTAGTCCCCCTATAACTTGCCACATGTCGAATAACACCGTAATGCTGAGCAAAGCGAGAATTATCTGCATACCCGTCTATAAATGAAGCCAATAAAAACGGGCTGCTGATTGATTGAAGTAATTCGCGCTTACCGTAGCATGAACATGACCACAGCAACACTTGTACTTTCGATTATTTGGATCAAAAGAGGACGGCAACGCTCCGCAACTCCCCCAACTGCGACTATCCCCACCATTCATTTCGCAAATTTCTTCCGACACGGCACTTCCCCTCATTTTGGCTTCGCTGACTGCCATTGCTAATCTGCAATTATTGCAAAAATTGACAAAAAGAGATAAAAGAGAGATTGCAAAAAAGATCCGCATGCATGTGTTGCCAGCGCTGAGGACAAGGAAATTAGCGCAATTTCGGTTTTTGTCGGCTCTTCGGAAGTGCGAAGTGTTTTGTATTCGGACGCGAGAACAATGTTGAAATGCTTCAGCAAAGAAGCTTTGAAGAATGAATAGAATAGATAGAATAGAATAAATATTCAATACATTTACTAGGACATTAGAGACAACGTGAAGAAGAAAATTCAAATTTTGTCACCATTTATGAAATCGATTTCCCCATATCGGTTATGGCCAAAGAAGAGGAACGGGGATATTGAGACAAAAAGAATAGCAAGCTCTATAAAAACTTGCTTTAATGGCAGTCCGAAAGTTTTTCCTCTAATAGTTTCCATTTCACCACTATCCTTAGAAAAATCTAAACTTGATATTATATGAAGGGAGAGGCTGTGCGC